GGCGGCTGTCTCCTTGGCGCGACGCCGATGGCCTGACGTCTTTCAGCGGGCAGTGGCAGCGGGCGATGGCGAAGGAACTTCAGCGACGCGTTCCTCCCACTGCGTGGACTGCTGCCTCCAGGTTCGAAAACTGAAACTGAAGACTTCCGCCGCAGGGAGAAGCGTTCCTCAGGGCCAAAGGGGAATTTTGTGCTTTGGAAGTTCAGGCCCTTCAGGGCTGGTCCAGTTGGGGCGCCCGTTCGACAAAAAACATAGCAACAATTTTAAGGGTTTTCCCAAGCCGTGGAAAATGGCTTGGGGGGCCCAAAAAAAGGTTTCAATTTTTTTCAAAAAGGGGTACCGAACCGGACACCGGACCCGGACTGTCTGAATGGGGATCCGGACGTCCGGTTGGCAACCATGTTTTTTTCATTTCCAAGCAAACGTAACCCTTGCAAAGAATGAGCCCTCGCGGGGCCCTTGTCAAGCATGCACATGTTCTGGGCAGAGCCCCCCAGAAAGCCAAGTGCCCACCCTAAGTGAAGGCGGGCCTGAATATTCACTAAAGGCCCAAATTCGACATTTTTTCATATGTGGGTACTCAGGCTGTTACAGCACGTCAGTTGGTTGAGTGGACGCGTGAGCCTCCCTAAGCTGCGTCGTACAGTTTGGCCCAGGCCGTGGCAGTTGCGCCTGGGCACATACACACAATGCGGGACGTGGCTACAGGCCTACGCAAAAGCAATACTGTCGACGTACATACCCCGGGTCCTGTGCAAATGCAGGAAACGACCGAAGTCTGGAGACTCAGGCTGTGCCCAACTGTAAAGGGCCCAGGCCCTCAACTGTAGCACTGGGCCTGAGCGCAGGCACTGGGGCCCAACCGGAAGCTACTGGAAGCTTCCAGCCAGGCCACACGCAGCCAAGCAGAAGCTGCCACTTCCATATAGAAAGGAAGGCAGCCAGGGTCTGGCTTTCTGGCCCACGCAGGCAATGCGGTCACGCTGCTGCGCTGCTGCGTTAGAGGCTGCGTGCTGCGCTAAGGCCAGAGCGCGTGCGGCCACTACAACATCAATGGAAATACCCTGTTTTCCTGAACACCGTTTCCCTTACCCAGTAGAACATCAATAGAAGTTCCGTGTTCCCTAAACACTGTTCCCCCTTAACCTATAGCAAACCATGCAGTCCCCTTAGTTCATCAGTAGGACAACCCTGCTCCCTATCTTCCCTTTAGTTCATTTGTAGGACTACCCTGTTCCTTGCAACCCCCCCTAGTTCATCAGTAG